TGTATAAAGAAGTGGACTAAGCAAGTGACGTCACCCACTGTGTTTGGCTCCTGTCAAATGAAACTCGCAATGGTAGTAGTTACGGGGCGAATTTGGAGCCATATTATGAATAGATTTTTTTTTTTTTATATCAAAATAGCAGGAAAACAAAAAACAAAACAAAAAACACCAGGATCACGAAGAGCAGGTTAATATGAACATTTTAAGACCAAAATGATGAGGCTCACTGCAGCAGTTACACAGAGAGAGATGATAATATTCCAGTGTAAGTCAATGGGAGCCAGGGTCAGTAGGATCCAGAAGTGCTGCATCCTAATTTCCTATTTGGAACGTTAGCTATGTCCATTTATATATACAGTCTATGATACTATCCCATATCTCTCCAACCACATTTTCTGTTCATATTAAAAGGCATAGTATTTGCTGAGGGGAATTTTGAATCTTGAAGTTTTCATGATTGTGATGAAATTGAAATTTAAGTGGGTGATCATATAGGCTGCAGTTATTTAGGTAATAGTTTAGTGGGTAAGGCGGAGGGACAGTAGCCAGGCCGGTGCCACCTAGTGCCTCCGCACCATTTCATTTCTCTCCAGCGACTAGGTCAGGAATCAGAATACACTAGATGGTTTGCAAGAACCCCATACGTTGTAGCTGAACAAACCTGAGTTGTGATAGTAGACTGCATACGCTATCCTCCGTTGGATTTCCTTTGTCAAATACAAACTGCATTTTTTGTTGCACCTTTAATTCGCAAGTTCACATCCCAGAAACGATAGTGTTAGGGAGTAACGGATTACATGTACCAGCGTTACGTAATCAGAATACAAATTATGAGTAACTGCATTCGGTTACACTCTTTCAATGAGTGGTAATTGGAATACAGTTACTTTGTTGAAATAAATGGATTACATGACAGTACTTTCCTGTTTTCACATTTTGAGTTATATCCATTATCCATCCATATATATATTACAAGAGCCATGTAAACGTCTTGTTAACATTGGTACCCAAGTACCCGCCTACTGTCGAGTGAACAAATCCTAATGCTGTGAGGTCCGACAGTTTCCACGAAGTGAAACCAGCTGATGAATCTCTACTGTAGCTTAGTTGGTAGAATGTTTGTCCTCTGATCTGAAGGTTGTCAGTTCAAATCTCGCTCTCGACATAAAATAAAAAAAATAAAAAAAACATTGGTTGAGCTGCCACAGATGAATACTGCTGTTATGTCCTGGGGCAAGACAACCCTGGTGTCTGTGTACACTAGTAAATGTATGTGTGTGTGAATGGGTGAGTGGTTCCTTGATTTAAAGTTCTTTGAGTTTCTTGGCGGTGGAAAAGCACGATATGAAAATGTGACCATTTACCATTTTACCGAAGTTTTAAGACCTCTAGAATTGTTGAATTAGTTTAGCAGTTTATATTTCAGTCTTTTTTTTTTTTTTTTCAATGCTCCTGGATTTGAAAACATAATAAATCAGAATTTGTTGTTTTTTTCTTTCTAACATTGTGAACCATTAATAGCTTTTCACTTCACTTTGCATTAACATATGTAAGGGAAAAGCTGAAAGTTTGCAGTAGAATGAGTGAGTGGACTTTAGTGATACATTTAGGTTGCTCACAGTTGATGTGTGTGACCCATGTCTCTAGTGACCTGGCACAGAGGAGGAGGCCCTTCATCATTCTGTCACGGGCTCTCTCAGCTTCACACACATAAGTCAAACAGTTCTTTCTAACGTGACTATGAATTCACTCCTGATGTTGAATTGATGTGCCCGAGAATGATCTGTGCGTCATAATAAACGACAGCACATCACTGGAATGTGCTAATTGGTTTGCTGTGAGTTATAAGGGTTAGATGCCCGTGTTAATATCAGTGTGCTGTGTTTATGATTGACAGAAGAAAGACAGAAAAAGTGGCTGTACAGGATTTTTTATACCATAACCAAAATATGTCTTGCCCAAAATAAGATACAGCTCTCAAGTTTAAAATATGTCTGCTGTGTGCTACATCTATTTATGAAGAGATAATAGCATGCTTGGTTTTGTTAGCATTACCCTGAAAGCAAACTCCATTCTGGTGTCTAGTTGTTTAAAGTATTCATGCAGAGTCTCGAACAGCACAAGGCCTAGAGAACTGGTGTAGTGCTCTATAGTGTGTGTTGCCATGGAGTAATTTAATATGTGTATAATATGTGTTCTTTAAGTCCAAGGATATGCAAAAAGAAAGAAGTAGCTGTCCTACTTCTGGTAAGTGCCCACAAGAGCAATTTAAAACACTTCAAGTTACATAAAAAGAAGGGGACAATCTGTTTTACCGTTGTAAAATAAAAGACTTTTATGGTTCAGCTACAAAATCTCTTTTCCAGGCCTGCACATTACACCACTGCAAAGCTGAGTTGGTGCCCTTAGTGAACTTACGATCTGATATAATTTCACCCATAATTTGATCTGATTCTCACAGGAGTCAGAAACGTCAGGAGCATAAGAATAAAAAAGACAAAAATAAATTCAAATCCATATATAAACAATCGCTTCATGGTTAATTGTCTTGTTAGGTGTGAATGATTAAGTAAGAAACAGTGCAGATGTGAAAACGGGAGGTAAAGGCGGATCACCACTGCACTCCATTGACATTGAACACACTCATTACATTAGTTGGACAGTGCTGAGGCAGCGCCCTCTATGCAAACGCTCTATAATGGATTTCTAACCCTATAGGCTTTGGATTTGAAGACCACTGCACTTTCAAGTAATAGGACCACAGTTATTGCTTCCAATTTAACAACTTTAAATGAATAATTAGAACTTTAAAAGCAGTTCCTCTATAGTTCAATGATGTTCTTTGTCGAGTCTGTGTATATATATTACAATGTTATCTACTCATCACTTCTGAGCTACAGTCCAGTGATTAGGTTTTATAAAGTAATAAGGTTTAGTAGATTTATTCAAACACATGGAGAATTACCCATCAGCCTTAGAAAATTCCTCAGACCAGCACTTCTATATTATCAACGGATTTCAGGTGGTACAGTGAAAATGTTGATTTCAGAAACCAAATGACTAGATTTAAAAACTATAACTGGACGAATGACGGGTAACATCATAAGGGCAAATTTTTGCAAGTTAAAGGTGCATAATGTAACTTTTCTGATGGAGGGTCTGCTACCCACTTGTCTCCATGCAGCTATTACTTTGACTCAAATGTTCCACAGTATGGTATTAGACTTAATTATGCTTTATTTATTGAAGAACAGGTGTTTTATGGCTAAAATATTTTCACAAACATATATTCTTACTCTCCACTGATCTGAATTACAACTTGTCCGAGTTGTACCATATGTGTGTGATAGATCACTTTAATGCCGTGTGTAATGCCAACAGTCGTGGGAAAGCAAGAGCATCTCCGTGGAGACGAGCAGGTGATGGACCCTCCACTCGAAGTTACATAGTGCACCTTTAAGGACAGTGTTGTGTGTATGTCAAAGGATTATAAAGAAATTTAAACTTCTTAAAGCCAAACTGAAGTGTATGAGTGGATGTTTTCTATCCCCAGAGCCTATCCACATGCAGATCACATCTTAATAGCAGGTGTGTGTATTAAACCAGACTCTCCTCCATCTCCTCCTCCCTTGTGACTGGATTAGCAGTTAGTGTGGAATCCTCATCTAAAGCTGCAGTTGCTCCTCGGCATTAGTGCTGCAGTTTTGATCCAGATAGTTGATATGAATGAGCCTTTTTGGTGATTTTAAACAAGGCAGGGGCTGGAAGCCTCAAGGCAAATCAAACAGAAAAACAGCAGTGCCGATAGGTCATCGCCTCCTCTTCTCTCGCTGAGTCCATTTGAGCCCAGGCCCGATTTAAATCAAAGATGGATTGATCTATAAGGGTAAACATCACACCACACTGCTGTTTGTGATACCACTCATAGACTTTTCTAGTATAAATATGTGAGAGAGTACGCATTCTTGCTGTCATTAGCAGCTGCTTAGGGCCCTTTGGCCACCAGAGGGCCCCCAAGAGCCCAAACATTTATATTGAAAATAAAGATAATAAAGGTTTTTTTGGAAACTTAATGACACTCAGGTGTTTCTAATAGTCTAAATATAATATGAGTTCTAAAATGACAAAATGTGTTTTATTTCTAAATAAATTTAATCATTTATTTAATACATTTTAACAATCAAATAATAATTTGAAGTATATGTTTTGCCTACATGTTGCTTTTGAGTCATGCATTGGTGTGGGCAGCTGCGTATTTAGACTGGGGCCAGGGCCAGTTCCCTCAGGTGCTGAGGATGTGCTGAGTTATATTTGAACGGCTGTTTTACCAGTTAGACTAAAGGTTAGTGAAGTCAAATTTATCTAAAATACTGGAGATTGGATCAAGAGCCCCAGATGAAAACGGTTTGGGGGAAAGAGGGACTTTTTAGAGGCCTAGAAATATGTCAGCACTTTACACCACTGGACACACCAGTGTTTTGGTTCTCTGTTTGACCATGTCAACATGTGATTAGTGTACAGTGGTGTTAGATTTTGAGACACCCTTGGGCTGCATCAGCCATGTGCACACCAAGATGTTTCATCATGAAGTATATGACATGCTGTTTTCATTTGCTGATTCAACAAGAACAATTTTGACTTCAAACAAACTTGTATCTAACATGATAACAATAAATACACTGGTTTCAGAATGAAGTCAATTGCACATATGATTATAAGTTGTTTGGTGTTTATTGACTACAATAAAAAGGTGATCTAAAAATATAAGTAAGCAAGTGACCTAAGTTCACCATCATCATAAAAAAGAAAATTCTGCCTCATAGTTATAATCAATGACACCAGTGCATTTAGTTAATCTCTTTCACAAAATAAAAAAAAATAAATAAACATTGCATTGCAGTGTATTTCATGAAGTAGGACAAAACAACATATTTGCGGTAATGAATGTTTATTAAAACTTATTTACACAGGATATGTACAGGGGGTTGGACAATACAGTGTTAAACTACACTGAACCACGGATGGTGGCTCAGCTGGTCCAAACTTATTCGATGAGTTGGGTTCACTGCCAGACAGGCCTGAAGGAAGTGACAGCACTCTGCAAAAACAAACAAGAGAAGTTTTAGAGTGTACATTTCATAGTTGCTCATCCCACTGTGAGTTAAGAAGATATTAAATGACAAAAACTCATGTTGACAATATTAAAGATGTGGGAAAAATCTGTTTTTGTGCATTTGAGATGTACATTCCCCAATTCATATGGTCCATTCTTTAAATACTGTATTTTGTGCATTGTTTAAGGGTGAACTGTGTAATCTATCTTGTCAGAGGGAGGGTCCACCACCGGCTTTTCTCCATGGAAATGTTATTACGTTGCCAGGAATGTTCCACAGTACAACATATAACTATAACTCTAACTAAATAATGTCTGTATTTCTCTGCTCGTACCTTGCGACACACCACTCAGACTGAGTTTTCCCTTGGTCCAGCGTTCTGTGGTGAACTCTTCTTTCTCATCAGAGCACACTAGCTCGTATAGTAGAGCTCCGATCTGCCACACTGAGGTTGGACCAGCGTGGTAACCTTTATTCTTGAAGGCCTCAGGAGGAGCAAATTCTTCTGTCCCTGAAAAACAATGACAAACACAGAAATAAGTAGAAAGGTTGATAGATTTCATAGTGCGGCTTTAATGATATTGTACTGCTACTATTACTATTACTACTATGGTGGTTAGGAATATTACCGTTGTAATCGTAGTAGGGGTTTGATTGGACGTTACAGCCACAACCAAAGTCTATGATACGAATCCGGGAACCGGACTCTGTGGTTTGGACCAGGAGGTTTTCCATTTTGATATCTCTATGGAAAACCTCTTTAGCGTGAAGGTCCACCAGCGCGTCCACAACCTGTCGCATCAGCACCTGCCGGACAATAAGAAGAACGTGGATTCGAAAATTAACAAAATGTATTTAAAATGAAAATGAGGTCTAAACAAGTTCTTAATCATGACCATAGGACTAAAGCAGGAGCTGTTCTAAAGTTAAACTACAGGACTTTCCCAAAGGAGGACACAATCAGAATATCATCTGAACTGCAAAGGACCACAGGTTGAGAAAGACTGAATTAGATGTTTAAACATCCATGTTATTTCTCACTTTTTCCAAGATAAGGTAGCTAAAATAAATGCAAAACAAAATAAAATAAACAAATACATTTTTGGTGTGGTGTCATTATTCTTCAAGCCACAACTTCAACTCTGAAGAAGTGGCACGAGAAGAATTTATATAAAAAGGGGCAAATGAACGAGACAAGACAACAAAGAAAAAGAAAAGATTGAAAGAGTTAAAATCGATTGAACTTTGTCTTCCAAATTCAATACTCTTAAAAAATATATATTATTATTAATTAATTAATAATTAAATATTTAAGCCTATGTATATTTTTCATGAAAGTTTTTTTTTGGTTATTTTTCTGACTTTTTTTTTTTTTTTTGGCGCACCTTTGCTTGGTCCTCCGACAGTGGTGCGTTCTTCAGACAGTAGTTAAACAGGTCTTCAGAAGGGGTGGGTCTCTCCATGACCAGCACTACCTCCTGGTCTTGGAGGTACCAGTCTAGAAGATTTACCGAGGGGTCCTTTCCAACTGAGTGGCAATTCGGAGCTGCTTTGGTCATGAGGACCACCTCCTCAGGGACCGAGTAAACCTCCTTTTCAATGGTCTAAAAATGAACAATGTAAACAAAACAGATGAGTACACAATCAGAGGTAAACCCAGAGGAAAATGATATTCCAAAACTACAAACGAAAATATAACAACAACAAATATTTCACTTACCACTGGAACAAAATCCACATCCTCTCGTTTGATGTGTTTAATTGCCACCTGAAAATCAGAAATTAGAACATCATTAGATAATGGAGTAGACAGAAAATGTGAAATTATAGGTAAATTCATAGATTCATAATTCATAATTCTTAACAGTCTCCAAGACAAAAACAACATCTCCATGGAGACTGACCCTTTACATTAAAAATGATTTACTGCACCTTAGATAATTTTATCTTATATTAACTGTGCATTTGATGTTTTGTAAAAGATGAAAAGTAAATATCTTACTGGTTGTTGGTCTGATATCCGCACACCGGAAAAGACAGACCCAAATGAACCCTCTCCGAGCTCCTCGTGCTCCTCGTACTTTGTCTCAAAGTCACTCACTGAATAGAAAAAATATTATTAGTATGATCATCCTTTAGTGACAGCACTCATTTTGGTCTTGGTGTAGTCCTGGTCTAGTCCTGGTGTAGTCTTGGTTTAGTCCTGGTCTAGTCCTGGTTTAGTCCTGGTTTAGTCCTGGTTTAGTCTTGGTATAGTCCTGGTCTAGTCTTGGTTTAGTCCTGGTCTAGTCCTGGTTCAGTCCTGGTTTAGTCGTGGTTTAGTCCTGGTCTAGTCCTGGTCTAGTCCTGGTTCAGTCCTGGTCTAGTCCTGGTTCAGTCCTGGTTTAGTCGTGGTTTAATCGTGGTTCAGTCCTGGTTTATTCGTGGTTTAGTCTTGGTTCAGTCCTAGTTCAGTCCTGGTTTAGTCCTGGTTTAGTCTTGGTTTAGTCCTGGTTCAGTCCTGCTTTATTCGTTGTTTAGTCGTGGTTTAGTCCTGGTCTAGTCTTGGTTCAGTCCTGATTTATTTGTGGTTTAGTCTTGGTTCAGTCCTGGTTTAGTCGTGGTTTAGTCTTGGTTTAGTCCTGGTTCAGTCCTGGTTCAGTTGTGGTTTAGTCCTGGTTTAGTCTTGATTTAGTCCTGGTCTAGTCCTGGTTTAGTCCTGGTTTAGTCCTGGTCTCGTTCCTGGTTTAGTCCTGGTTTAGTCCTGGTTTAGTGTTTACATCTAGTCCTGATTCTCGGTATTGTTAGTCTGTAGTGTACCTCTATCTCTAGCCACTCTCTTCATTGCTTTACTCAGGCTTTTCTTCTCTTTCTCCCTCCTCGTCTCCAAACTCTCATGCTCTGAGTTTTTTTTCGTGGATTCAGGACGAAATTTTTTGGGATGGATTTCGTCCCCTGCGTCTGTGGCTTTCCTTTTTGTTGTTTTGCTTGGTTGGTCCAAGCTGTGAGCGACCAAAGGACTGTGGCCTGAAAATACATCAGATCAATTATTACTTGTGTCACAATGAAAAACTGCAACAAGTGGATTTTACTTGATAAAGGTACAACTAGTTGTACCTTCAATAGTACCTTCAGTGTGGTCGTCTGTCCTGGGAGCGCCCTGCAGTGTCTCACCTCCAAACCCATCGGTCGAGGTTTGAAAACACGACTTTTTGGGCTCAGAGCAACAGACTGGATCACTGGCTTTCCTTTTCCTGTTTTGGAAAAGGCTCGGTTCGCCCTTAAAGTTGCTCGAGGCCGGCCTGGATCCTGTGAACACATTATGTCATTGTTATTACTTAGTTACTTCATGTTTCTACGTAAGTTTCCAAATTACACTCAGGTAAACACAGTCAAAACCAGAGATGGGTGGTTTCATTTACATTTGCTCAAGTAACTTCTCAACAAAACTCTACTTCTCAAAGTAGTGTTCTGATGTTTTATTTTTACTTGTGTACTTTTTGGATCAGTACTTTCTACTTGTACTTTAGTAGCCACGTTTAATAATAATCGTAAGTAAAAATTAATCTTAAAGATAGTACAACTTTGGCTACTTGACCCTTGGCTGGGATTGTATGACATTCTTCAAAATTTCTTCTACAAACCTTGCAAGATCGCGCGGTCCTCTTCTAAAACGTACAGTCTCCGTGCTACCATTGTTTTGAAATCACAAGAGGCGACAAACTGTGGAAAAGTGTCTGAACGTGCTGAGATGTGTGGTCCTATATTCTGTCTGAAGATGATGATGTCATAAAGCGCTTTGCCGCTAACGTGGCAACGGCCAGCAGGTGCACGCGGAATTTTGATGATGTCATGGTAATTTAAGAATGTTTTTTTTTAAATGTATTATATTGTATTTAAATGTATGTATTTATTTACTTTAAAATAATACAACTTTCTCAGGTCTTTCCTTCCAGCACAATACAGACATAGAGTTCATTTCTAAAGCATCATTTGTACACAGAGTTATTCAAAGTGCTTTAACATTCTCAACAATAAAAACACTGTAAATGAAAGTCTGTTGTTTGATGAAAATCTGTGAAATGTTTTATGAAGAGGCAAGAACAGCAGCAGAGAGTGAGTTCTGCACTTTTTGTACATACAGTCAATGGACCTATTTCAATTATTACACTGTTTCAGAGCACGATTGTATTTTACATTGAACACAGTGTAAAACAAGAATCACACACATCAGTCCCCTGGTGCACCCAACTGCATTCTAATATCTTAAGTTTTCACAGTACACCATTTGTACGCTTGTTACTGACCTTAACAACTCTTGAGATAATGTTAATGTTAATATTATTACTCAAAGTTCCCACCCTACTTAAAAGAGTTTTTGATTCTATTTAGATCAGCATATCATGTACGTCACAATGAACAATTATTTTTTTATGTTCCTATAATAAAGAAATTTGCCGCAGAGCATTTAACTTCAAAGCTCCAAATGAATGGAACAAATTACCCTCCTCAATTCGATCAGTTACATCAATCCACCAGTTTAAGGCATTGGTCTTCAGATACTTACAAACATCATGCTCCTGTTTTCGATAAAAATACATTCTTATTCTATGTACTTTCTTTTGTACATAGAGTTGCTTTTTTTTTTCACTAATTTACAAATATAGGTGTGGGGATGATAAAATCAGAGATGTTGTCTGTGTGTTGTGTGAATGTTGTCTTTGTCTGTTTTTTCTTTTTTTTTCTGTAAATGTTACTTTTGTTAATGTATTAGGATCCCCTCGTAAACGGACTTCCCTAATAAATAAATAAATAAATAAGCAGTAGTGGACTATCGGAACAAAACCCCCAATCTTGTGTGCCCCCAAAAGTATCTCGTAATAATAGTACTTTTTATTTTACAGTTCTCTCTGAAGTTCCAGGAAGCTATGATTAATGTAAAACACTGCGTAGGATCCTGTTTACATATATGCAGGTTATATAGCCACGTATTTTTATCATGTGGAGGAGTATGAAAGTCAAAGGATATGCAAAAATAAAGAAAAAAAGTATTGGACATGCTACTACCAAGTGCCCACACAGCACTTTAAAGCAACTTAAATTTGCACTTGAAAGCCAGAGTAGCACGTATTTCTTTTTTTTTTTTTATCTTAAACAAGCAAGGATTAAACTGGCTAATGTCAATTGCTTGGAGTTTACATAACACTCCAGCATTTGCTAGCTGTCCAATCTTGAACAGCCTTAACACTGTGGAATCAAATAGAGAGCTGTGAGATAGGGTCAAGTCATATGTTGCTTCAAGGGCCCCGGAGACCTCTGTCAGTCTATCTGCCAGTCCCATGTGAGCCTTATCTGGATTAGTGCCAAAGGTGATTGACAGGTCACTAATCCACGTGGGGGGGTCGGCAAACTGCGATTTAACACAGCATAATTGGACTATCAGCCAGAATCCTGAGCTGCTCGACTTAAGGGGAGGCCACTGGGGACAGATATAGAAACAGGGAAGGTATTGTTGGGAAATTTGAGAAACAGCGCAATTGGAATATGTGAAATGAAGTAAAATTGATACCAAGTAAGGAATAAATCAGAACTAATCTTTGTACAAGATATATAAGTGGATCATTACACCTGAAAATGGCCTCAACAAGAATTAAACCAGGTCAGAACTAGGTCGACTCAAGGTTAAACCAGGACAAACCAAGATCGAAACCAGGAAATTTAAAGGTCATGTATTATGCAAAATTGACTCTTGTGAGCTTCAAGCCATGTTATAATGTTGTTACCTCATCAAAAACATACCTGGAGTTGTTTTTGCTTCATTCACACATGTTTGAGTAACCCTTCATGATTAGTCTGTCAACTATAGAGACTGGCGCCACCTAGTGCCTCCGCTCAATTTTATTTCTCTTCAGCGACTAGGTCAGGAATCAGAATACACTAGACGGTTTGCAAGAACCCCGGAAAGTTGTAGACCGCACACCTGCCAATCAGTGAAGAGCTGTGAAGCCATGACGTCAAACTCAAGCACCTGTCTGGGTCCGTTTTGTGGTACAGCACAACAGTAAACAAAGTGGACGAGATGGATGTAGACGAAGACATACATTCTGTGTTGGCAACGATTCCAGAGATTGAGGATTTAAAACCAGAACTGGTGAATTTTATCAAGGGGAAAGACATTATTGCCCTTCTTCCTATGGGATTTGATGCATTACATACGTCACGACCAAATAGCAGCGATTGGTTAGATTAAAAAAGTACCCGCCTACCATTTTGCGAATGAATCCTAATGCTGCGAGGTCAGACGGTTTTCACAAAGTGAATCCAGCTGATGAATCAGGCTATCTGTCAACATCTCCAAAGCTCAAAATGCCGTGTTCCACCTTGTGATGTCGTGACATGGTAGTTTTCATCTAAGTTCAGTTAAGTTAACAGCTTCCTTTTACCTTTACCTCCCTCACGGGAGGGCATCTGCGCATCTTTTAAAATCCTGAAAGTTTGGGAAATTTGTAATTTGCTGCTTGACACCTGAACATCTATCACTGTCTGTCACAGCAAACTAAATGAAGTGTTCTCATCAGTGCTTTGGGGTAGTCAGTACAGGGTTTTCAGTAATATATGATGCCATTATAACAACATAAGAGATCACTATTTGATTTGATACACAGATACATTAGATAAACAGGATTTTTGTTTTGTTTTGTTTTTTTCAATTTAAAACTCCTGGTGAAGATTAACAAGTGATTAGTGATTAGTCTGTTGTTGTACAAATAGTTGATTATACAGTGTTGTGTTTATCAAATACAAAACATTCTGTAATTGCATCCCAACCTGAATTTGATCTCATTTGCACATATATACACTAAAACCTGTAGACATTTTTATTCATAATGCACTGTTAATATAAAAGGGCTCATATTACACTATTTTCTAATCAATGTTATGTTGTTTCTTCATCAAAAACATACCTGGAGTTGTGTTTTGTTTCACTCACACAGGTTTACACTCACACAAATCCTGCATATTTATGATGTGTTTATGAAGTGGTTTTAAACCCCATACACCTTCACTAGAATTATAAAAATATAATTTGGATAATTTCAGCCCTTGTATTACCAATCTCTACCAGTAAAGTTAAAAGGGAACTTGTTAACTTGAAAACTGCTGCTTGGTGACATCACAAGGTGGAACATAAAACATACCTGCATATTTAGGCTGAGTAGTTCTTCTTCTCAAACAGAAACCAACTCTATTCCATATTGTGATGTCATGTGGTAATACAGGAAGTGCTCTACTGTGTTTTTAAACTCCATACAGCTTCACTAGCATCATTTGGATGATTCAGATGAGGGACTATGTCTCTGGGCTGGCCTGGGAACGCCTTGGATTCCCCCCGGAGTAGCTGGAGGAAGTGTCCGGGGTGAGGGAAGTCTGGGAGTCCCTGCTTAGACTGCTGCCCCCGCGACCCAGCCCTGGATAAGCAGAAGAAAATGGATGGGTGGATTTCAGCCCTGGAATTGCCAGTCTCTGCTGAACAAACAGTAAAAAGTAGCTGTTAACTTGAAAATGACTACTAAGAAATCACAATGTGGACAGAGCATTTTGAGCTTTGGAGATGTAGACAGACTAATAATAAAGGGTTACTCAAACATGCGTGAATGAAAGAAGACACAGCTCCAGGTATGTTTTTGAGGAGGGAACAACATTATAACATGACTTAAAGCTCACATGATTCCATTTTGTGTAATATAGAACCTTTAGGAATGATTTGATTTAAGTATGATTCAGGCTTAGTAACGAGCTACTGTGTCCAAGTAATTTCCTTTGTGAATCAATAAAGTTTGTCTAAGCCTAAGTCTCATTAATACCCAATATTCCTAACCCTTTATTCAGTCTTTCTTCTGACTTTAATTAAGGTGTAGCTAATTTCACCAATTACTGTTGAATGACAAAGATCACCTAGTTAATTTTTTCTCTTACTTTGCCCTAATTTTTCTCTCTCAATAATTACTATCGTAATGTCCAAATATTACCCATATTTTCATTTTTGTAGGACTTAGTGACAAATTAAAAACTAATTTGGAATACCACCAGTTGCTTTTATTTATTTTCACACTGTTTAATTGACTAAATGAACACTCAAACCAGAATGGCCACTAATCCTGCCAGCAGCACATGGGAGGGTCTGCGCAGCGGGGGCAGTTTTAATAAACAGAAAAGGTGGTGAAAGATTTGAGAGGGCTCTTGGGAGAGAGAGGTGGATTTGAATTTGTGTGCGTGAAATTTAAAAACAACATTTCGAACATAATTAAGCTTGAGTTAACCTCGGAAAGCCCCAGACACACCTCGAATGTGGAGGAATGAACAGTCACATCTACATACCCTCTAGAGTGAAATGGTTTGGGTTGTTGCCGTGACGATGGATGTAAATGACTGAAGGAGGGCTCTGACATTTGAAGTTGTGCTCATTGGTCACATGTGATAACGCCTGGCTCACTTCAGCTGTCTCCACCTGATAACAGCGTCTGGGGGACATGCTAATGCTGCTGCGTACAGGAAGTTGGTAAAAGTTTATTAACAAAGATAAAATGTGAAATGTCAGAGAAGAAGTATCAGAGACTAACAATACAAACCTGTACTGGGGTCTCTGCCAGGGGTAAATCATGATACAAGTATAAACTGAAGCTCAAATGATAGTCCGAGTGCCTGTCCTCT